AACTATGGGGCCGTTGTCTATCAGTCTGCTACTCAAAGTGCCTTGAAGATGCTGGACCCCGTGCACCATTTGGGCATCCGCCTTTCTACGGGTGCTTTTCGCACCAGCCGTAGAAAGCTTTATGTTGAGTCAAATGAGTGGTCGCTTCATCTGCAAAGAACCAAATGTCCTTTGTATACTTCCTGAAGGTGAAAGCAGACAAAAGGCACCCCTCATACTCTACTATTAATGACTTGTCGAGCTCCATTCTTTTTCAAAACACCTTCAATGAGGCAGCCCTTCTCAGTTCGCCTGAAGGGTCTAGCTGAGGACACGGAGTGTCACTCGAACACAGTTTAATGGCTCCTGTAGCATACCCGCCACCGTGGCAGTGGCAGACTATAGACTGCGATGTGTCTTTTCTAGAAGTTACAAAACATGCGCCATTGCCCATATCCGAACATATTTCTTGGAACTTCAACACAATACACACGTCCTGAGTTTTTTACAGATGCCTCTAAGTCTAACTCCTCTGTGGCCTACGCTGCTGTTGGCCCTTCCTTTTCGGATGCTGGCCCTCTACATCCAGGCACAAGTATCTTCACAGCGGAAGCTTACGCGATACTTGTGGCAGCTAAACACATTAAACAATTACAAATACAAAAAGCAGAATTTATACAGACTCCCTCAGTGTGGTAACGGCTCTGCACAGTCTTAAAAAACAAAAAAACCCTGTCCTTGTCTCACTTTACTCCATATTTGCACACTCTCACACTCAACCAACATGTGTGGTGTGCTGGGTGCCAGGGCACCGTGAGATCCAAGGCAACGTGGGGCGGATCAGCTCGCTGCATCCGTCCACAAAACACTGCCCCTACACCCTATCAATCCCGGTCCTTGATCTGAAGCCGTCTCTCAAACGAAACCTCAGGGACTACTGGCAGAGCAAGTGGGATACACAACACACAAAACAAACTACACGTTATCAAGCCACACCTTGGCCATTGGCCACCAGTATCAAAATCACGTCTAACAGAGGTAACACTAACAAGACTCAGGATAGGACATATACACGACACACACACATTTTGTCCGGTGGTGATCCACCATTGTGTGATAAATGTGGTGAGGCATTAACAGTTATTCACGTTTTAATTGAATGTAAACATTTAGACACTCTAAGAAGACAACACTTCCACTATCCTACCGACAACATATACCTTTACACCCTGCAATGTTCGTCGGTAGGGAACCGCTTTTTAGTCACAAATCATTATTAGCGTTTTTAAAGGAAATCTAATTTTCATATCATATACCCGGGCATACCGTAGCACGACCTCTCTAGAGAGGTTTTTGCTGCGGTGGCTACACAGGAAAGCACTTGCCTCACGGCCCTTGCACGCAAGGGTACTAACGTGTGAGGTACTTGTGCTAATGCCATACATGTCCACCATCGTTTTTCATTATCACCAACTTTTGTCACCTATTCACACCATGCACACCTTTCACGGCATTGTCATGATTTTATTACTTGTATGTTTTTACCCGCTTTACTGCGAGGAATTTTATGGCCCTTATACAGCCAATAATCACAACCATTGTCCACATTCCTGTCTCATGAACTGGCGCTCTTTGGCCATCAAATGGCCCTTGCGCCAAAAAACACTATATATCATCATCATCGTCAACGCCTCCTAGATAACTGCCGGGAACGTCGCTCTCTTTTCAAATAGGAGCCTCCTGCCAGCACGCGATCTCGGAGGCCATGCCTCCTGCGTTGTGTTGCGACCGGCCGCGCGTGAGACCGCTCGCCTCGTACCGCTCAGTCGCGTGACATTACGGCTGCTCGGAGGCAACTGTGAGAGCGTTGCTGTGTTCGCAGTGGGCAGCCGTCGGAGACGCTCGCCTTCGTACCGAAGGAGGGTAAAATCAGAGGGTAGGGCAGCGCGTTCACGGCTCACGTTCCAGGCATAATTTTTTTAGGAAGCGTTGGTCCCGTCGTAATCGTATGTAGACAATTCTCGTTAGTTCTTGAACCATCCGTAGAGGGCAGTACTTGTACATATCTTGCGGTACTTGTACATATTTTTTTCTTTTGTCCGGTACATGCGTTATTATGAAATAATTTGCTATGTCGCTCCTTGTGTTCACTATGAGTGTATGAAACTCTCACCCCAAGCAATCTTTATGCCACTTATTGTTTCGACTATGTCCCCTTGTAACTGCCCACCTGCTTGGACCTAAAGGTCTGCAGTATGTAATAAATAAATAAAAAATAAATATACGAACTTCATAGACGCTGAAAAATGCAAATGGTATGATACTAGAGAATGTACTTATAGTATGATAAATTATAAAAATCACAGTATATTCATTAAGTGAATGACGATGAGTGGGGCGAAGCATCCGTCCGTCCTCTAGTGCGTCCATCTGTCCGTGCCTGCGTTCGTCCGTCCATGCGTCAAACAAAAACTGCGGATGGACGCGGCCAGCGGATGATTCACGGTTTGCCGATAAAAAGCTAACGCGCAAGGCGGGGGCGGCTTGAAGTTGAAGCAGTGCTCCTTGAAGGGGAGCGCCGCAGGCCTTGACGCCATCCTCGCTGGTCCCGGCAGGGGCCGACCGATGGGATCAGGCCTCGAAAAAACTCGCGAGTTTTTTCGCGAAAAACTCGCGAAAAAAAGTCGCGAGTGGACACCCGGCAGCAATGCCGCCGGAACGCTGACCGCGTTGAAGACTGGAACGCCGAAGCTCCTTATAGCTGCACCTGTTTGTCCCTCGCAGCCGTTGTAGTAGCGTGTAACAAGTATAACATTTTGACCTCCAAGGTGCTGCAAGTGAGAGATTTCTTCAGTGCGTTGTTGAACAATAAAGATAGTGCTCATGTACATGCCAATGGCTGCTAAGGGGGAATGAGAGAGGGGAGAATTGGGCTTTTAGTTAACGCGCACGCTGCGAATTTTTTATTGCTCACAACGCACAGCGGACACGAAAGGTTGCTACGTTATACTCGCTGGGCGTAACCTCCTAGGTTTTAGAAAGGTTTAGCGAGCGTTGGGCCGCAGTGCCATGAATACAGGGATCTAGTATATACCATGAACTCTAGGTGATTAAAGGTTGGATAAAGACAAAGCACAAGCCGTAAGAAAGTGTGTGTGCGTCCTCTCGTTCAGTCCTTGGAATGTCCGCTGCATGGTGGTGCTTCTATATGAGGAATATATGAATAAAAGATGCGAGATGGTGGTACTTGGAGTGTTAATAGGTGGACGAATGGACACACAGACATACATGGACGGACGCACGGATGGCTGCACGGATGGATGGACGGACGCAGAAGTGGATGCATGGACGAAAGCAGGCGGACGCACAGATGAATGTGCGGATGCACGAACCGACGCACGCGCGGACGGGCGGATGGACGCATGGGCGGCCACACAGACGCACGCATGGATGGATGGAAGCAAGAACGAATGACGGCGGATGCTTCGCCCCACTATTTATCATTCACTCCGTGGATATGCTGCCATTTTTTTCAATCATTAGTCACTATTTGCGTTTTTAAAAGATGTTGGTTGTTTTAACGTGATCTACCCTGGTAATCTTTAGCACGACCTCTGAAGAGAGGCCGCCGCCGCTGATGTCCGTAACCACTAGCACGAAATATGTGAAAAACAGTAATCAAAACACTAAGGACACAGTGGGACTCGAACCCACGTCTCCTGCATGACAGCCCTTTATTTTGCAGTAGAACCACGCCGGTGCTTGAAACTCGGTTGCCAACATGCCTGATGTCGGAAAAGTGATCTGGTTATCATGAGTAATGAAGCGTTTTATTACAGCAAAGGAACAACCAGGCGTCACACAATGTGAATTGCGTAATGAGTGGGTCGTCCAATGTTCTGATGATGATGATGATCTTTGTTACTCTGGCGCACACCCACAAAGGGGGATCAGCCAAGAACCGGGTGGCAGGATCTTTAAGTAAAAGGCTTATGGTTGTACAGACACAAAGTAATCTTGGACTGAAAAAAAATTATATAGAAAGAAAAGCCAAAAATCGAAAAAGGATGTTCTAACCGATTACAAAAACTTGTCTTGATCACCTATTAACGTGGGCACATACCTGCTTCAGGCATAAAAACTTCAACGTCGTCAGCCACTGCATAAAAAAATGGGCACAAAATTACTTGCAAGAGTGCAGTGTATACCTTAGTTCTCTGAATCATGACGGATGATAGCATAGTGAATTGCGGCCTGCTAGATGGCGACACTAAACGGCACCGCCGCACCACGGCCTTCTCCTTGGTAGCGCGGCCGCAATGTGGCGTGTGGCGGACGTTGCCCTGCAGCCTACGGCGAAAACGGGTGGCAAGGACTATGCGCTCCGCCCTCTTTGCTGGCCTTCAACCCGGGAGCAGCGGCGGCCAATCGGCCGGCCGTCGGCGACGGTGAACTGGAAAAGAAAAGGCCATTAGATTACGTGTTTTCAAACGTGGCAGCGCCCGTTCGCCGCTGTAGGGTGAAGCGCGCGCCTCACTCTCGACTGGTCGCTGGCTGATGAATGTGTAAATAAGTGATTACGGTACAAATACTCGTCTTGTCATTAATTTACGCCAGTAAAATTACTATGCCGCATACTCTCGGCGCAAGAAATTCATTTGCATTTCCTCGCGATTTCCTTCGGAGAGGTGGGGGCAATTTTTTTCCTATTTCGTTCATGACCTTTCTGTCTACCTTAAATTTTTTCTGGGATTTCTCATTCTATTCGTATTACGTTTTACTCTTTCCCATAGATCGGCAGAGTGTTGAGACTACTCAGACTCATTCGTCTCTCCCAGTCCCCCGGGATGGGTACGAGCCATGTAAGAAGGAACATCCTAATCATCATCACGTACAAATCACCCTCACAGTAGGGGTTCTATTATCCTCGGCGGCCGCTGCCCGATTAGCTAGCACTCGCTGTGTGTAGCTCACCTTCGCATTCGCGCTTCCGAGATGGCACGGGTTTCGATAGAGTCGATATGTTAGTGATGACGCCTCCAGAGCGCAAGACTCTGCGGGCCGCTCCGATGCGAGACCGACTCCATGTAGGGTTAGACGGTTGGTCCGAGCGGTGCGCTAGCCGTGCCGACCCGAGAGCCGAGTGCTTAGGGCGTGCGTCTTCGGCCAGCCGGCTGCTGCTCCTGCTGCTAACTCTCCTCAGGGACTGCGCCGCATTTTCCGCAGAGGAAGCAGCTCTTTACACCCAAGTCGTGGGCTCCAGGTGAACATTTGTTGTTTTTAGTGCGCAAGTGACTAGCCATTATACTTTTATCACTGACATTAGGTTGGCCCATTTACATCGAAGTCGCATCTACTTAACATGCGGTGCGCGTCTGCGTGAAGCAAAAAAAAAAGAAAAAGCGCACTAAGCATCCACAAGCCATCCAACTTCGAAAGGCCCGTGTTCCCGTGTTCATGGGAGGATTCTAATCAGGCTTCAGCTTCCTTTTTCGCGATAGAAATTATATGGATACTCTCGGCTAAATTTTGCCGTCGGCGTCGCCGTCACTCACTGTATATGTATACGTGTCTATATACATGAAAATGTAAGAAAGAAAAATAATCCAGAAAAAATTGGCCGCGTATCTGCATGTTAATCTGCAAATGTCGTCGAAAAACGATAGTCTTGCGTCTGGAGAGAGTGAACGAAACGTTTATTTAATGTTCTGCGCAAGAAAATCGGTGAATGGTATTCTGGAGGCACTGGAGGCACTGGGTATTCTGGAGGTATTATGGAGGCCTCGAGAGTGCAGCGGAGGCGAACGAGTGCATCAAGTCACGTCACACGTGAAACATCTGGATGGATGGATGGATGGATGGATGGATGGGGATGGATGGATGGAAAATTTATTTTTTCAGAAAGCAACTGAGGATGATTCCGTGTTAGATGGCCATCAACCCAAGGTTGGCGGCGACCTGTGTGGCCCACTCCACGACCCTTAACTGGACGACTGGGTCTGAGCTGGTCAACACGGCCTCCCAGTGCTCAGAGAGGGATCACGCATAATATCCACCGGCGGCGGCACTATGCTACATTCCCAAAGTATGTGATCATATGTTGCCACAGCCTGACACCATTTGCATTGCGGCTTAATCTCCTCCGGGTACATTTTGTTCAACACGTAAGGGTTGGGAAAAGATCGCGTCTGCAGTTTTCTCCAGACGCATTCCTGCGCCTTAGTCAACCGCTTGTGCGGGGGCGGATAAAACCTCCGCTCTAGTTTATAATGATTCGTTATGTCATGAAAGGACACCAGCCCATCTCTCGCGGACCTCCCCGGAACTGGCGGCTGACCTACCCGGCTGACGAAACCTCGAGCATTCAGGTGAGCCGCCTCGTTCCCAGGGTTCCCAGAGTGTGCTGGTACCCAGACAATTTCTGTTTCTCTAATTTCTCGTCCCGTGGACCCTCTGCAGAAATCGTGCGGCGGTCGCCGATATTCTGCCCTCGCCAGATTTCGGATGGCTGTCTTTGAATCACTGAAATCAAATCTGACTGCGAATTAGTTACTAGCTAGCGCTATTGCCAGCTTCCTCTGCAGTTCCGAGGAGCGAGATTTTGACCGATCCAGAGCGTACCAGCGCCCCGCCTGTCCACCACCACAATCACAAAAGCGTCTTTGTCCTTATATTCGCAACATCTGTCTGATAGACTGCCGGCGTTGTACTCGCTATACTCAACGTGTAAAGCTCTGGCTCTTGCCTGCCTGCGCTGCGTAGGGTGAATCGGATTCATATTTTTGGTGCAAGGTTTTATGTACAGGGCCTTATGTAACTCTCGCCGAGCACCTGAATTTTAGTGTCCCCAGTGGGAGCCTCTGCTCCAATGCCAACCTTTCCAATATGATCCTGGCCCGCTTTGGTTGTCGAAAGCCTAGCGCTGCATCACCAGATGCGCCTCCATAGTTCATCCAGGGTGTTGTGTACCCCTAGTTTTTAACAGCCTTTCTTAGCGCATGTGTTCAGGCACCCCAGCGCTGCCTTTGTAAGCTTGCCGGATCATAGCCTCGACCTTACCTTTTTGTCTGCGGCATCCAACTTCATATAAGGTGTCGCGTAAGTAATCCTGCTGAGCACAAAACGCCTGTACCAGCTTACAGAGTTCTTTTTCTTTAACCCCCGCTCTTACGGTTAGCGATTCTTCTGATTAGCCTGACAGTAGCATTGGACCGTTGGTCTTAGTTTTTCAAGGGCCACCCTATTCTTCCTGTTACGTTTGCAGATATAGGCCAAGAATTCTAATCGTTTGAGCTTCAGCTACCGGCCTACCCCCTACCTTTACCTCTAACGGCGGGGTGGCGGAATATAGTGTCTTGCACGTAGCCCTCTGGGTTTGTCCCAAACCACAAAGAGCTTGGACTTGGGCTGAGAGCATGAAAGTCCCGCCTCCCCTGCCAACTCTTCGACAGTATTAACTGCCTGTTGTAATGTTTCTTCCAGATGCGCGTCACTACCCCTGGTTACCCGTAGAGTAATATCATCTGCATAAAATGTGTGTTTGAGTCCGGTACCTCCTCCAGCCTCGGCGGTATTTTACTTAAGGCGATGTTAAACAGGAACGGGGACAAACTGAACCCTGCGGCGTCCCTTTGCCTTCCAACGCGAATGAGTTCAATTTGATATCTCCTATTGAAATTTCTGCGATTCGGCCCTCCAAGATTGATCTGATGTTGCAAAATTTCCTGACCCCTGGGCCAATTTCCGATAGGTTATTCAATATTGCCTCATGCGAAACATCGTCGAAAGCTTTATTCAGGTCAAGCCCCAATCCACCTTCGGTGCCCGTGCCATGCCCGGGATCGACTACATCATGTTTTAACTGTATCATGACATCCTGTGTGGACAAATTGGCCCTGAAACCTATCATAGTTGGGGGAAAGATGGCCTTGTCCTCTGCATAATTCTGAAGCCTGTTGAGAAACCACGTGCTCCATCAATTTGCCCCACGCATGATGTCAGCGATATGGGCGCAGGTTTTCCAAGCAGAGTTTTCTTGCCTGGCTTCGGAATAAATATAATCCTAGCATGCTTTCCATTGTGATGGGATCTCCCCCGGCCACCCAATACTCATTTATCAAGTCAGTGATCGCCCCGACCGATTTGAAATCTAGGTTTCTCAGCATTTTATTAGTAAACCCATCCGGACCTGCGGCAGACGTAGTACGCAGCTGCCCCATGGCAAACTCCACCTCCGCAATTGTGAACTCTTCATCTAGTTCTGAGTTTTCCACCCCGAGTAGTGTGGTAAGCAACCGTCTACTCCATCAGTTATGTAACCGATTCCGGAGTTCCTGTATAAACTCTCCAATTGTGCCTCATATTGATGCATTAACCGAGTCATTTGTCCCCGTTGCGCCGATTTTGTTGCTGCCGGATCCAAAAGATGCCTTAACAGCTGCCATGTTTTTTTTGCATCCAAACTGTCCATTCATGCGATCACAAATCTGGCCCCACTGCTTGACTTGCAACTCAATTGTATAATTTTTCGATTTTACGTTCTAACTTGGCAGTCCTTCTGCGAAGGACGCCATTATGTTTTTGCTTCTTCCACCTTCTCAAGAGACTCGCGTGCGCTTCCCACATGTGTAATAGTCTCGAGTCAGCGGTAAACCCTCCTGCTCGACTGGCACTTCTACCGGGGTATTATTACATCCTCCTTGAGCGCCTGTACCCATGCATCCAGGTCATTAATTTTCCCGTTCACAGTGTCTGCTCTGTTTTTCCTAAATCTGTCCCAATCTGTAATTCTATGTCCCCCTCACTTTGTCTTTATGCTTCGCAGCGCTAAACGTCGTGGAAAGGATTAAGTGATCACTTCCTAGGGCTTGTCCCGTGTTAATCCACTTTGCATTACTGATGCCTTCTAAAAACGTAAGGTCTGGGAGGTATCCATGCTTATGCTGTTGCCTATCCTCGTATGATCTTGTGGATTGTTTAACAGCGTCCATCGCAGATCCCGGGCAACTTGCCAAAGCCGATTGCCCTTTGGGCTGGCTCGAATATAACCCCACTCCGGGTGAGGCGCATTGAAATCTCCTACCACTATAAGCGGAGCGCGAGCTGCTAACCGTTGAGTTGAATCAGGAGTTGTGGCAAGCCCAATCCTTTATCTTTTGGAGAACTATACACATTAAGTAAAAACAGACTCTTCTCATACTTTCGTTTAGGCAAAATCTCTAGCAGGACATAGTCTTCCTGCTGCTATCTACGGAATGCTGAATGGCAGTGATGTTGCGATGGACTAGCACGGCTGTGAAGACGCGTGATACGCCCCTTGAATCAATTCCTGGCGCTGTAAATGCCTTAAATCCAGGTAATTTTACGGAACCACTAGCCTCCTGTAAGGCTAATATGTCTGGTTTACTGTCCAGATTTTGTACGTGCAACTGCAGGTTACCCCGCTTTTGACGAAAGCCCATGCAGTTCCACTGCCAAACCTCAATTTGCTGGCGAGGCGCCATGATGAGGCACCAGGTTGACTAATGGCACTTGGCCACCCACGGGAGGCAGTCTTGCCTCCAATAGAGTATGAAGCTGCTGAAACATGCCCATGACCTGGGTTGGGAATCCCTAAATTCAGGGAAGAGCATGCCGAGACGCTCCTCTATTGTGTCTAATCTGGCTTCGATCTTTTCGACTCAAGCCTCCAACCCATCCTGTCTTTTCCCTTGTTTGCCTACTTTATCCGCAAGTTGTTACATCCGACTTAAGACTAATGACCTTAAAAACAGGCTGTGGCATGTCTACTGGTGACGTTTCGGCTAATCGTTTTGCGTTAGCTACCTCATCCCCCGGCAGTGGTCTCTTCACTGTCCCCCGATTCTCCACTTCCATAGCTGCACTCTCCTGTACGCGAGCAGACGCCTCTTGCGTCGCTTTCTGTAGGCCTTGCACTGCTGGTGCCTGTGTCCCCTGCCGTTGGTCGTTTCTAAGTGCGCGTTCTATCTCTGCAATTCTGTTTTCCATTCTTTTAATCAAATCTCCCTGTCGCTGAACCAGCGCTGCTAACTCCCTCTCTCGAGCGGTTTCGTTCTGGGAGGCCGTGCCTGACAAGCTCACCTTTTTGTTGGTGTCGCGTGCGTAGCTGTTGGGACTGGATACTCGTCCACCATCTTGGCCGCCCCCACGCCCTGGCAATGGCGGGAAGGAACTCGACCGGTCCCTGCTTTTGCTTGTGCCTTCTTTACCCCTCGGTGACCGCTCCGTGGCCCTCGAGGACCGCTCATCGTTGCCAGCTTCGCTCTCTCTTTCGATGCTCTGCTGCCGGCCTGTCGGTGGCTTGCGAGCCAGGCGAAACTTGCAGTTCCGGCTCCCTGTGTGATGCGCACCATGGCACACGATGCAGTCCGGCGTGCACGTAGGTGGCTCTCCTTCTGGCGGGGCAGGATGGTCCTTCCCGCAACGGTGACATAGGTTACTCTTCGGACGATAGCAAACGTCCGCTCGATGTCCAACTCGTCTACAGTTGTAGCAGGTCTCGACTAAATTTCTGTACGGGATCACAGCGTACAGGACAGTTTCCAGTAGTAATCTGTCGGGGTATGCGTTTTCCCCCGAACGTAATCTGAATCGCCTTTTGACTTTCCCAGAGGTCTCGCGTCCCCAGAATGTCCATGCTTCATTCTTCTTCAGGAATCCCGCCCGAAACTTCTTCCACTGGCATCCAGCATAAGCGATTGTAAATCACTCCCCGCACGGAGTTCTCCAACGGCGCCCACGAACGCCGAAACCGGCAGAGTCACGATCACCCAGCTTGAGCGTCTTCACAGTCGCATATGCCCCACTGCGATTTATGCACGGTGTGCTCACCGTCCAACGTGTTGTTGTGCATTAACCCGCACAATGTCTTCTTCCGCGGCAATCGCACTCGTTAGACGCGCTGCTGCTTCTCAGTTGCACATCCGAGTTCTCTCGCTGTCACAACACTCAAGTCCCAGTTCTGGGGCCTGTACACAATCTTGAAATCCGTGGCTGGCAACTTGAGAAAACGTCCGCGTTTTTCCATACAGGCGCTTCCCCCGCTTGACTTGCTGCGCTCCGTGCGTCTTGCGCCCGTCGCTGCCGGCCTGCGTCTCGCAGGCTTACTCGTGGCGTGTGTCGCCATGCTGAGTCTTCTTAAAGTCGGTCCTGTGCCTTCGCACTGGAGCCCACTCTCCCGCTTCCAAATCTTCGGGTGTTATAGTCTCCCTTTCGACGTAGTATTCCATCTTCCGCCCAACAAGGCCCACGGTCACCGGCGCAAGTCAGACGCCCGGCGACGTGGCCCAGGCTTGGCCTATAGGAGATAGGCCTAGCCGTGCCACCGCGGGGTTGATAGGAAAATATCGGAAACTCAAAAACGGGGACAAACTTGCCTAAACGAGTGGTGTCCGTAGGTACAGGGCAACCTCCTGCAGACGAGCCCATGACAGCAAGTCCAGAACAAAGCGCGTCCGCCGATAGTCGGTCACCGGGCCGGAGCTCATGCGAAACACGTCCGCACAGCGTCTCACTCCAGCCGCGTCTGCCTGAAACAACTGGAAGTTATCTTGGAAAGCGAAGCGCGCGGCTCTGAGGCGGGCGCGCGCGCCCGTCTCAGAGCCGCGAGTTGTGGCGATGCTTGCACCGTTAAACATCGTGCGGCTTCGTCACCGTAACAGTTGACGTCCCACCAGGAACTTGGCAGACTGACGTCATGGACTCCTTGCTGCACAACTTCTGTGCGGCGTGCCTACAAGATATAGCGGTGATAAGTCACCGAAGACTGCAACGTTAATGTACTTTGACGTAAAAATCAGTGGCCCGTCACGTTTATCGATGCCGAACTTGGACTTTGCCTCCCTGACGGACATCGTGCAGTCAGCTATTCGAACACCTGTTTAGATACTGTGGTTACTGTATTACTGTCCATTCAAGTACAATCGACCATGGTCGCTACGTTTCATGTGCTTTCTAAATCGTAGCCTTACTTCATTTAACAGCCCAATGTGTTCCTATTGCATTCATTGCTTCAGCCTTATGCTGGAACTGTGACTTTTTGTGCACGTTTTACCGCCGCCACATAAATATGGCAGTGAAATAATGGTGTACCCTGGCAAAGAACACTTCCGTGTTAAAAAGGAACAACTGATCATAGCGCGCGCCTAGCATAATGAAGATAAGTGCAAAGGTTACCTATGTAAGCGTGACCGGGAAAGGACGCGACGTTCTGCACCGCCGCTTCGCGCATAGACGCTGCAGCAGGGTTTGTCGACTCCTGACATGGCACTGAAAAGTCACTCGAGGCATGTCGTCAACAAACGGGTATAATAATTCAAGGTGCAGTCCTGTGCAACCATCGCAGGACTGCGGGTTGTACATGGTAATTCTGCTAGACCGATCAAGTTAGCGCTTGGTGGGGACCACCAAACGCACCAACGAGAAGTCGCCTGCCAAGGCAGTGCGTGACTCTCTCTCAGAGCTGGCGTGTGAGCAGCTCCCCAGGCGAGCAAGCGCCAGACAGGAGCAAGTTAGCGGGGCAGGGGTTGCGACTGGAAGCCAATAAGGACAGGAGCACCAGAGCTGCCGATCTCGCAACCTTGCCACCTTACCGTGCTCCCCGCAGGTACACCAAATCTTCGCCACCGCAGACGGCTGACAACAAGACCGAGGTCTTCATCCAACTCGAAGTGACGTTCGTGAGCGACATCCGGGTTGGGGAGTTGGGGGCTTCCAGCTGCACGCCTGGTGTCGCTGCTGTGGCGCGACTCGCGCGTCAACGTCGAGCTCCTGCGACAGCTGGGCTATCGCATTATGCCCGAGTTCCTGGCGCGCAGCGTATGGCGTCCTGGCGTCGTCTTCGAGGGCGTCGGCGAGGTGGCCCGCTTGGACGAGCCGGACGTCTTCGTCAGAGACGACGACTTCTTGCTTTCTCGCCAGAGAGCCGTATTCCAGGTGAGCAGCAGACTCTCAAACACCACTGTAGGCCACTTCGAAGGCACGATCTGCACAGTTATCACGTCACTTCCGTCACCTACACTTCGATTGTGTCTATCGTAAAGCGGCGTTTTTTCACTGGTGTATTTTGAAATGACCGTCTTATTTTGAAATGTGATGTATTTCGGTGCATTAAAAGATTGTTGATTAGACACTCGTGAATTCGAAAAATCGGGTAATGCGGTTGTCCCTGCCAGCATATACATTGTTTGTTCGCCACAAACTCTCGCTAATTCAGAGATCTTTGGCCGCAATCCAATTATTTCGGGCGATCGTCGGAGCATGCCAAGCACTCACGAAGCGCCGCAAATATGCGACGTAATGGAGCAAAACGGTCGAGGCTTTGCGAATAATCGAAAGTGCTTTCATTGATTGAAATTTGAGGTTTAACGTCCCAAAACCACCATATGATTATGAGAGACGCCATAGTGGAGGGCTCCGGAAATTTCGACCACCTGCGGTTCTTTGACGTGCACCCAAATCTGAGCACACGGGCCTATAACATTCCCGCCTACATCGAAATGCAGCCGCCGCAGCCGCGATTCGAGCCCGCGACTTGCGGGTCAGCAGCCGAGTACCTTAGCCACTAGACCACCACGGCGGGGCATAATCGAAAATGCTGAGGGCTTTCAGAAAGCCGTGGTCACCACCCACAATCGCGTTGTTTGTAGGTAATGAAGTATGGGTATAGAGTGCATTTGAGTTTCAGACACAAAGCCTTGAGCCATGTTCACATAATGAACGAACTTGCATATCCGGCTTTCGTGCTACTTTTAAAGCCCAACGATGAACCAGGTATTTGTGATTTGTTTTCTTCATGCCTTTGATTATACAATTAATCCGGACAGTTTTGCCAGACCCGTGAAATACGAATTAACAGCCTTTTAACTAGGGCAGCTTTGTGCTACATCTCGGCAAACGTTGCCATTTTACAGGCCCTTCTCGTTTATCACACGTGGGTCATTTCTATAAAAAAATGGCGCCAAGATTCCGACAACCCTAGCGATGCAGATCTCGAGCTACAAAATGTCTAAAACCTGGACTACGACTCTCAGTTTTCCGTCACGATTTTGTGTCAACGGACGGTGCCAGCGCATGGGGTAGCTCACGAAAAAAATGCTTAAAGTGAGTTATTCATTGTAGCTCTTCAACATATTCGTCTAGAGAAATAGGAAGAAAAAAAGTCAAAATAGGAGTCTGGTTTTCGAACCTCTAGCGAGAGGTCGGGCCGTAGCTTATGTCTCTTGACAGTATAGTATGAGACTTCGAGTGTTTTAATCCTCAACTATACATTCGTATTCTATGTATCATCTGAAAAACCGAAACCGATCGTGGAAGTGTTGTACGTCATAGATAAAGCTGTTCTCGTTTATAAAAAAAAACACTTGTTTTAGGTTACTCTCACTGACAATAGCATCTCGGTACTGACTATGAGGACATTTGTTCCCAACTCACTTCTGGGTAAATAATTGTATCGGGCCAGTTGGTATGAATCCATCTTGGTAGGAAGCGCAGCCGCTATTACACAGAACACACAACACAAGCGCTTAACTTCAACTAAACGTTTATCGTAAAACGCCAGAGTTTTTAAAGGGGGTGAAAGAGAAAAAATAATAATAAAAGGCAGACAACAAAAAGCACACGTGCCAGTCCCCTACATTACTTATCCGTTATTATCTATCACCGCATCCAAAAAACAAAGTTCTTTCCGCGTGAGCGAGATAGAGGGTGCACTAACACACTCAAAATCATCACGTGTCATTTCCCCAGCTTCTGCTATCAAACGGGTTAATAAATCTCTGTACGTGTTATCGAAATACGGCACACACTCCTTACAGTGGATTGCCAAGTGACCATCGGTACCCTTTTTCACTTTATTGTAGTGCTCTTTTAACCTTTCATTTATGCGTTTTCAGTTGTTCCCACATAAACAAGACCACATGACAAGGGCACTCTGTAAACAGCCGACAGTGCACACTCAACATATTTATTGCAATGCTTAATTTGGCATCCTTTCTTTTCTTTCGAAACAGGACAAGTTTTGTGACATATCTTGACAGTATCTCTGGAGCAGACATGACCACTCGGACGCCCACCTTATATACAATCTTTTTAAGTTGTGTGCCACACCATGGCTATAGGGGACAACAGTCGTTTTACGCTACTGCAGGGAAGTGTTAATACGCTGCCTATTTGTTTCTTTAGGTCCCTATGTAGCGATTCAGCGACGCCTATAACCATTCGTTGCAGGTAACCTGCTGCCTGCAGTCGCAAAACCTGTTACTCAAAGCTCTTCATCATGAGGTGAAAACAAGACTTCTTCAAGGAATTAAAAAGGCATATTCGTGCGACAGACCTCTTCACTACTTTGGTATGGGCAGAAGAGAAAGGCAACAATGGCTTTTTGCTCCAGGGCTCATAAAGCCAACAAACGTGGTCATCCTGAAATTGCAACGAAAAATCTAGGAACATGAGCGTGTTACCATATGTGGCATTTCATGTGTTAGTTTCAGAGGCTGACAAACTGTCTCATATACTCCAAGTGTCAAAACAGCAACACTTTGAAACTCTTCGGCATCACACTTAAAAAAACAAATAATCGTCCACAAACCTGAAGATCTTTAAAACCTTAGTTCCCGACAACCTCTCATCATTATTCTATCTAAGTGGGCCAAAAATATTACTAAGGACGGGTGCAATAGCAGAACCAATATAAATGCCCTGTTTTGGGATATAGGTGTTCCCATTCCAATTAACGAATGTGGACGTTAATTTCTGGGAGTGATACGCCAACTCCCAGGTCCTATGCTTGGGCCAGCGGGACAACTTCATCCTAGGCGTCACCGTGTGCAGCCTAGTGGTCAAGCTGCTTCACGATGCTGACGGCGCACCGAACCTCGTCTGGATCGGCAACGACACGGTGAGCCCACTGCACGGACAGTATGACAGTGTCACCGTGCACGGGGATGTGCGTCCGCTCGTCTACACGCTCGTCAAGGTCGAGCCTGTCCAACGCGACGACACGTCAACCGTCGGCAGCACCCCCACCGTTGCGGCCGACTTCCACTTCTCAAAGGTAAAGTGCGTTTTGGCAAGTTCGTCTTATCGCGTCTACATTGCGAAATACGTTAATGGTCAACGCCTTCTTTCTTTCCTTTATCACGATTGCAGCTATACGGCCACGCTTAGCGAGGTTTCACCGTCGGCGTGGGCGCAGCGGTAATATTAGCTTAAACATCACCTTGCGCGTAGCATGATCTATGCGCGAGCAAAAGTGTGCGAGGGCTGCCTTCGATCGGTGCGCGACTGAATAATACTGCTGTTCTTATATATGAGATAATTTTGTTCCACCTGACATTATTGAGTGTGCACAACCATAGAGAATGCTCAAGAATATTCCAATGCATCTCCGAGGCGCCACTTAAAAGTGGCAGTGAGGATTCAACATAGTCACTAATCACAAATAAAAAAAATGTACGCGCCCGGACCAGCCAACCAAGCTAAGCTGCTCAGCCGAAAAGTTTAGTGATAATAATAATATCTGGGGTTTAACGTGTCAAAACCACGATATGATTATTAGAGACGCCGTAGTGGAGGGCTTCGGAAATTCTGATCACCTGGGGTTCTTTAGCGTGCACCTAATTCACGAGGCGCAAACATTTCTGCCTACATCAAAATGCAGCCGCCGCAGCCGGGATTCGATCCCGTGACTTTCGGGTTAGCAATCGAGCGCCATAACCACGCCCTACGCCTCCTAGAAAAACTATGCCTGGAACGTCGGTCTCTTTTCAATTGGGAGCCTCCTGCCAGCACGCTATCTCGGAGGCCATGCCTCCGGCTTTGTGTTGCGACCGGCCGCCGCGTGAGATCGCTCGCCTCCGTACCGCTCAGTCACGTGACTTAACTGTAGCTCTGTCACGTAACATCGCGGCTGCTCGAAGGCAACTGTGAGAGCATTGCTGGGTTCGCAGGGGACGGCCGTCGGAGACCCTCGCCTTCGTACCGAAGGAGGAGGGCAAAATCAGAGGGTAGGGCAGCGCGTTCGATGCTCACGTTCCAGAGGCGTTTCCACGCCATAACCAGTAGACCACCGCGGCGGGGCCGGCCGGAAAGTTTTGTCATACATCATGGTGCTTCTTCTGCTTCCAGGTGACGTGGTCGTTCCTGCTGTCCACCTACGTGCCATCCACCATGGTGGTGATCGTCTCCTGGATCGCCTTCTGGGTGGACGCCGGCGCGGCCGCCTCCCGGGTCACTCTGGGCGTCGCCTGCCTGCTTATGCTGGTAGCTCAGGTCGGCCACAATCGCATCGCCAGCCCGCACGACACCCAGCTGCAGCCGGGCGACGTCTGGTTTTTTGTCAGTGCCGTCGCCGTCTTCTGCAGCCTCCTGGAGTTTGTCCTGGCCCACGGCGCCCACCGCGACCAGGCCAGGGCGCAGGGTGTGGGCGCCGTCGGAGCCGCGTCTGCCGTAGCCGAGCCCCGCTACCGCGTCTACCGCAGGCCGCCCACCATGAACACGCTGACGATTGTGTGCGACACTGCTAGCCAGACGGACCGTTCGTACCGTGCCTACCAGGCCAACGAGCTGGACGTACTCGCCAGGGTCATCTTCCCCATTGCGTTCATTCTCGTGGCGTCCCTATATTTTTTGTGGTACGCGGCGTCGTACTAGTGGACGAGGTGGACGAGGATCGTACTTTTTCCTCCGTACCTTGTGAACACAGTGCGTGACCAACGCATTCTTCGGCGACATCTTGACACGCGTGCTTAAACACTGCAATAATGTTAATGTATTTAAATGTGTTCAAAAATATATTTCATTGAAGGTTTCAACTTTATACTCTCTGTGGTCGCATTTCGATTGTGCCTGCGTCCAACAGTTAGGGAAGAGCTCAACTCACTTCGACAATCGCCTGCATGTTTTCCGTTTTGTCTGTTGAATTCTGGTGCTATTTATTTATTAACTTGTTCTAGAAAAAGATGTATAGCGAACTTCAAGCTTGTCCACTGGTGAATCATTGGTAAACCGAAAGTGTTCTTTAGATGACCCTTCATGCAAGTAAGGCTTTCGACGAATTGTCGCCGTAGTTTATTCTCATCGTTGATACATTGTAATTTCGAAACTTTGTAAATGGTGCGTTGAAATTTGTGAGTGGAAAAATGCAAATAAAATTATTTACTATACCAAAATAAACATTAAATATTATCAAGGACTTGTTTTTTTTTCTTGGACACTGCCAGGTGAAATCATAAACACTAGCACTAAATTATTTTATGTTTTCCTAGGCCTGGCTGTATTAACTGTATTGCAGTGCTTATGACAATCGCAAACGACTTAGTGGTCGAGAAATCGACATTTGCCGCAGTTGGAGACCAAACCTACAGCCTTCGTTGCGCGTCCAACGCATAAGGCGGTGCCCCGCCGTGGTGGTCTAGTGGCTAAGGTACTCGGCTACTGACCCGCAGGTCGCGGGATCAAATCTCTGCTGCATTTCCGATGGAGGCGGAAATGTAGGCCCGTGTGCTCAGATTTGGGTGCACGTTAAAGAACTCCAGGTGGTCGAAATTTCCGGAGCCTTCCACTACGGCGTCTCTCATAATCATATGGTAGTTTTAGGACGTTAAACCCCACATATCAATCAATCAAATCAGCTTAAGGCGGTATTCGTTCCACATTATGGTATTTTTGTGCGTGGACGCGGTAGTGTAAGCCCTGAGTTGCTCGCAGTCGTAAAGAAGTTAATAGATGAGATAAATCAACAAGGTTATAACTGTAGCGCATCTTTTTGAACGACTGAAAAACAATTATTGCACTCTTTCCGTTCTACCTACGGTTTCTTTTTTTTTGGGGGGGGGGGAAGGGGTGGAGTTGGTGTAGATATTGAATACGGAAAAGGTCTCGCTATATTAAGTAATCGATTCTTGGCCGATCCCCATGAGTGGCATGTGTGG